AATGTTTTCTTTAATAACTAAGCTTGAAAAGTGTAATATTTATTAATTTAATATTTTTATTCGGGTTTTTCGCTGTTAAAAAATAGTTTTATTATATTATACAACAACTATTCTGTCTATAAATTCCATATGAAAAACACTTATTTTACTTTGTTACTTTTTGCCAAAACACATGAAAAATAATCCCGTTCATTTAGGAATATAACAATGCTAATTTATTATATTTAAAAATATTTTTTAATTCAAAAACGACCAATTTCTATTAAAAATATCAAAAATGTATGTATTATATTTTTATTATTATTATAATACTTGTTTTTTGACACAAATACCGTAAATGAATATTAATTTGAAATTTTTCGATGTAAAATGTATATAATTTATAGTCAATAATTGTAATATTGATCTCTCTTTTACAGACAAATTATTATATTGTTTACCATTTTTAATTGTTTTTTTTTTAAAAATTGAAAAAGTTATAATTGTAATATTTGTCAATTTTTTATCGAACTTTTCTCCAAAATGTTTTAGTTTTAAAAAAGACTACAATTTTGGGAATTGATACTTGAATTTCAAGGGATTTGTCTTACCATGGTTGTCGTTAATTTTTGAACAAAAAAATGGTAAAACGTGGTTCTTTTTTGTTTATTTTTATTTTCAAAAGCAAAAAATAAATATTAATCAAAACATTTAAAAAAACAATCTTTGGTGGAAAAAAAAACAAAAATTTGGTGCCTCCTAGTAAGACTTATTTAAAAAAAATTTATTTTGGGTTTTTTTATTTTATTGGTAATTTTGTATTGAATATAACGAATAATAATGCGAGCATCCTTTTTTTCTTTAGCATTCCTTTATTTCTTCCTACCTTAATTATTATTTATTATGAAGAAAATACAGTAGAAATTCTATCGGTGTGTGGTTTTGACCAATCAAAAGTGACCTACACACAGATAGAATATAATGATTTCCCACATATTTGGCTCAAAAACCCTTAAAAATAATGTCAATTGCAATTTTGTTTTTATTTTAAAAGAGTAAAGACTTGGTAATAAAAACTTAAAAAGAGAAAAATTATCAAACAAAAATAGATTCAAAAAAGATAAGAAAAGAAAAGCAGAAAATGCTCCTCAAAAAAATTAAACTTTAAATGATAATAAAAAATGCACTGACTTCCACACACCAATCACAAGAGCACGCTTGTGATTGGTGTGATGACAGAATTGATACCACAAAAACTTAACAATTTCAGCAAGAAAGTCACAGATATTTTCGACACATGCAGACAATAAGCCTGGCGTGCTCGTCCAAGTCTTTGAGGGCGAGGCATATATGACATCACATTGCAACCTGCTTGAAAAGTTTGGGTTGTTTGGTATCTTATTAGCACCACATGGAGTCTCACAGTTGAAGTCACATTTGACACAAATGCAAATGGGATATTAAATGTGTCGGCTGAAAACGAGACAACAGGAGAAGATTGCAGACGAAAAGAGTTCAAGGCGGAGGACGACAAGATAATAACTTTTCGAAACTAAAAATCGACACTCACCTTATGCTACTTATGTAATAACACAATGAGCAAGCAAATTTTTTCAAGGTTTTCAACAGAAGACAAAGAAGCAATCGAGGCTGATGTCAAAGACGTACTTGAGTTGTAAAGTGACAAGAATCCGCACCAAAAGTCCACGTGTTTATACAAAAACACAATGCGTTGTTCTTATTCTAAACAACTAAACAATTTAAAAAATTCACAATATTATTTTATGTTTACACGTGTCGCGTTTTTTTTTCTCAAAAAAAACAAAAAAATACATTTTGTCATTTTTCTAGATTGTGAATAGTTTTACAAATTTCATTATTTTTTAGTTTTTTTGCCAAAAATTTAAAAAGAAAAGAAAAAAAATTACACACCTTGGGAAAACCATTTTCATGACTCCACACACCGATAGAATTTTTACTGTAAAGAAAAAGTGAATAACAAAATACGAAAGAAGTATGATAAATATATAAATATTTTAAAACAAAGACAACAATTTCAAATTTGTTGATTTATCAAACAACGCAGATAAGCAATAAACATAGTATACAAATTATACACATATTTCAGAAGGATGTGGATATTTTGCGCTCACTTCATACTGCTGAACCCACTCCTGCACTCTGTAGTATTTCTGTATTGGATTTATCGTGTTAAGTTCCTTAATATTCTCTTTCAATAGTGCCACTGATCTTTTCGAAGTATTTTTTGGTGTATTTGTTTCAGTCTTCGAGAATTTAGACCATTCCATTTGAAAGTGTTGTTGATCTTTGAGTAACTTTTGCCTGTTTTCTCTCTTTGGTTTTGTCCCCTTTAGGTGTGTTTGTTCTGCCAATAATAATCTCCTTGAATATGAGAAGGTGACAAATGAAGTCGAAAAGGTATCACTCCTATCTATAAGATTTTCGGTCCTTTCGTTTTTGCAACACATATTATAACTGTCTAATGGTGCCAGTTGTTCCATCATTCTTTATAAGTTTGAGTTTTGTTTTGTTTGCAAAATTTGTCAAGACAATAACCAAGTGCTTTTACATTTTACGGTTTTAATTTCGAAAACAAGAACAACTGAAACACAATATAACTAATGTATTAAAAATTATAAAATAAAAACCAAACAAAAAAAGTGTTTTGTAATTAATTGCCTCAAATTTTTGTGACAAAAATCATCCTAGTATTTTACTATAAAACAATCAATTTTTATGATTTAATTGTTTTGGTGATTATTTTAGAGCATTATAATGATATTTTTAGAACCTTTTTTGAAACCAAAATAAATTTGTGATTAAAGTAATAAATAATAATATTATTATTATTAAAACAAATAAATAAAAACAATAATTAACCAAATAATTCTTTTTGATAAACAATTACACTTTTAATTTGATCTTTAATATTATACACAAAAAAGTGTAATTTGCCAAAAAACAAACAATATTAAATTGGTTATAGAGTTG